AGCCAGAACTGGGCCCACCTGGTCTGTGAGTGCCGTGACGGGGTTAACAGGTTAACAGCTAGAACTGGGCTCACCTGGTCTGTGAGGGCCGTGACGGGCGTTAACAGCCAGAACTGGGCCCACCTGGTCTATAAATGCTGTGATCATTTCTGCTTAACAGCAAGTGTGCTCTCCTCTCGCCTTTTCTTGCCTCTGAGGTGGCAAATCTTAGATTCAGGTATGAAGTCAACAGTGAAAAAAAGCAAGCAAAGCCGACTACTGATCTGCTTCGGGTTCAAACCCCTAGGCGGGCTCTAGCTCCAGCAGCCCTCCCAACAAGGTCCGGCCCAGCGGACCAGGGAGCTGCACTGCCATTTGGTGGCCATCAAGAATGCAGTTTACTTGGCCTTGGCCCTGTGGGTTACTTCTCGAAGGAATCGGCAGACTGGCTGATCAAGGGCAGGCTTCTGATCTTAACGTCATCCTACTTTTAACAACTGGGCTCTTTTTTTTAAGAAAAAAACCTATCACATTCTATTTACACATTTTAAATCTTCAGGGCATTACATTCTAATAACTGAAACAAACAAAAATCTTAGTTATGATAGAACAACAAAAGGAGAAAAGAAAGAGAAGAAAACAGGAGAGAAAAAGGCAAAATCTCTTCTGAAGAGATTTTCTCAGATTCAATGGCAGAAACACCCAGACGTACACCAAGAGCAGGGAAAAGGGAACAGGGAGGCCCATTATCTCTGGGTAAGGCACGACGTCATTATTAAAGGACAGAGGTCAGCACATTTTTTTCTGTAAAGGGCCAAGCAGTAAGTATTTCAGGCTTTGTAGGCCTTACACTACTCTACTCTGCTGTTGCAACAGAAAAGGTTACAGACATAAACACACGTACGTAAATGAACGGGCAGGGCTGTGTTCCAATCAAACGTTTTTCACAAAAACAGCTGGCAGGCCAGATTTGGTCCACAGGCCATAGTTTGCCTGACCATGAAAAGCACACATGACCCATTGTTATTTTCTTGTATAGAAGCAGCCTCAACATTTGCTGAATCCTTGAAAAGTACCATTTAAAGTCAATTTGACAGGGGCACGTTTAAAAAATTTTAAAGCAACTAAAAACTGAGGATATGAAAAATACTTCCAAAAAATTTTACAGTTCTAAGGGTCGAAAACACAAGTTCTTAAAAATTGGCCTACCTTATTATAAGCAAACAACAACACAAAAATCTGTCAAAGGCTTACTGAGCACCTACCAGGTAAACACATTGGTAGCTACTTCCCCTACAGGTCTCCGCTTCCCCACACTAGCTCTGAGGACTGCATCAGCAGGCATTTACCCTGGGGTGTTTTCTGCATTTTCTACAATTTCCAAGACTACCAGGGGGGTTACACTGACCCAAGCACCTGAAGACATTCCCTACTGGTCACACTTGGGCGTTTCACCTAGGTAACTGGGAAACCAGGTGTCCCACCCAAGCTCCCCACCTCTTTGTTCTGCTGTGTTTGCTGCCATCTCCAGCGGCGCTTCAAAGCTTCCTTCTCCACTCCCTTCTCCATCAACGCGTACAAAGCTTTGCGTAGCATCAAGTCACGATCATGGAAGCCCCACATCCCTGCGGCAAGGAAGCATGGTGGTGACCAAGAGAACAAAGACGCCTTTCTGTGATTCAATTCCACTTACTAATTCTGATACACAGACCCTGGCACGAGGGAGAACTAGCTGAAGCCCAGGTTCAAACAAACCCCTGCGGCAGTTCAGAGAAGAAGTACTTCGTCAAGAAAAGATGTTACTACTCTGGTGGTTCAGAGATGTTGAGCGCTTGCAAGTGGGGGACACAGCACCTTCAGACCCCTGACAGGAAAGTCCTGCTCCTGAAGCAAATCTGACAAACCAAGACACAGTGTGACGCTGGGCGAGACTGGTCGGCCTCACAGCAAACAGCATCGGAGCTGGAGGGACGCTTGGAAAACAGGGAACTTCTTTAAGCTAAGGCAAATAATACACTGAGCTGTAAACAGGTTTTATAATTTAAAGTAAACAGGCTCACAAATGACTGCTGAAAGTATGTTTTTTACACACCAAAAGATTAAGAAGAAAAAATGTATTTATACACTCCTGCCTAAGGCCACAGTATAACTGAGTCCCACAAACGAGGTCTGACTCAATAGCTTCCCATCCCCAGGAGAGTGAAGGCGGCTGTGGAGACTCACCGAGGGAGGCTGCGTGCAGGAGGCAGTTCCCATCTCCGGTAGTTGCCAGAGGAAGCAGCCTCTGACAGGTGGGGTCCACACTCACCCACCAGTTCAAACGCCCTGCAGAAACACGACGGGGGAGGAAAAGGAGGGAACAGATTAGCCACACTTCCCTATTTCTAAAACAGCCTCCAAATTTGCCTCCTCCAGGAAGCCTACCTAGACTAAACCCATCCATCCGCAGTTCTGAGTGCTCAGTGACTCTTTAGACCTTCTTCCTGTCTAGCCAGTCAGAACCTGCAGGGCAGAATGGGTCAGATCTGCAGTTCTCAGGCAGGAATAATTTTCCCCCGGGGACATGCGGCGATGTCTGGAGATATTTTTGGTTGTCACAATGGGTGGGGGGGGCGGGGGGGAGAGAGTTGCCGAGGCTAGGGATGCTGCTAAACATAACAGAATGCACAAGACAGCTCCCACTCGAAAATTATCCAGCCCAGAACGTCAGCGCCGAGCGTGAGAAACCCGGGGGTAGATGCTCAGGCTAAGGTCACAGGTTCAAATCCTGTGCGGACTCCTGAGTTTGGCTCTGCATCCTTCACTCTGGTCAGAGACCAGTAACTACTGTAGCAACAAAGCTCAGCACAAATTCATCATGAGTAACAGAAAACAACTTAAAGCGTGTATTCAAGGTGACCTGGGGGAGTCATCTGCATATGTGACAGTCAACACATCAGCATGTACATGGTGTGACTTTACAGACACGAGCAATAAGACACAGCACGTAGAACACCCACGAAAATGAGCCTCAATTCTGTGTAGCCTTCCCACAACTGCCAATCCATTAGTTACACGAGGAAAATATTTTACGAATGATGCTTAAAAATCACCTTAGTTTTCTTTAACTAACGAAAAGTTCATAGAAAGAAAAACTGGCCTATAATCTTACTAGCCAGGTAACTTGCTTTTTTTCAAAATCAGAAATAAATGTACAAGGTTACAAAAAAAAACCCAAAAAGTATTGAAGGGTACAAAATGAAAAATAAAAGCTTTACTTCCATGGCCCACCTCCCCTCCCAGTCTTTCTCCCGCGGGAGTTTTTAATACCTATCTTTCCCAGAACTCCCAGCTGCCTCATTTTATCACATCAACTAATTTTAAAAATAATTTACGACAAACCCAAGTGTAAAGGTAAGTAACTCTTTCAGCAAAGGTTCATGTAAACAAATGTGCCTTTCAGATTAATCACCCCTGGCATCGTCTGCAGGACTGGCCCTTTCTGTTCACAAGCGAGTTCCAGAGCCAATTAGCAGTAGTTTGTATTTCTTCACGTGTTGATTTTTAGCATTCCTAGACCTTTCGTATGTATATCTGGTTTCCCCTCCTTCAGATACGAAATTTTCCAGAGAAAGTGTCTAACCTGTGTCCCTTCTTTAACTTCAAAAAGCGCCTAGCTCAGTACATGTGTATTAATCAGACCACACGCTGGGATCAGAAGCTGCCCCCCAGCTCAGCCCCTCCAGTACTCCTCCTCAGGCTGCCCACAGGTGGAGGGAGACGGAAGAGCCCAGGAAAGGACGCGCTCACTGACCTGCCTGTTCCAGGGCAACCAGCATGGACTGTTCAATGAGGTCTCTCTCTATGAAGCTGCGGAAGTCTTCATTGTACACAGTGAGGTCTGGGAGCTGGAAGGCACAGATGGGCATTTCCAGGGGGTGCTCACTGCTCCCCCCACCCCCACCATTGGAGGAGACATGAGACCGGGCCAGGGACACAATGCTGGAGCTGGCGTGGGAGATGCCCCTAGACAGACGTTTTTCTGCAAGGAGAAACAGAGTCACTTAGAATACAGACAGCCCACTGAGAGGACCCTTCACTGACGCAATGGTTACCTCTCCACAGGGTTTCCAGGCAGGAAACACCAAGAATCTAACTGGCTACTGAATTTCACAACCTTCTTTCTCAAGGCAAATACAAGGAGAAATATCGAAGGTGGTATTTTTACAGGCACTCACATGAGCACCGGATACACATTCCTCCTACTATCCGTGTCCAGAATTGGCCTGGGCTGCCTCTCCCTACGACTGTCTTCTCCCACGTCTATTTCCCAGCATGACAGAGACCCATTCACCTAGCCTGGTCACTGTTTGGTGGAAAAGAGAACAAGGGAAATGAGGCTTCACATGGCTAGATTTAATCAAAGAGTCTCTGTAATTTTTCAGGGTCTTGAGGAATGTAGGAAAGGATTTCCACTGTAAGAAAATTAATGACAAATCTTACACATTCACGGACTTTCTTATCTATCATCAATATCATTTATTTACCACAACTTTTCTTGATACCCGTATTTATCAGAAATTTAAAGGCACCATCAATTTTGATTAAATGCTAACAGAGGAAAACTGTAATAATTTCATTTGTTATTTGAAGGCAAGGCATTTGCAATTCCCCAGCAGATATTCCATTCTGATCATAATCTGCTCAGTATAATACTGCCATTCATTTGCATGGCTTGAGTTACATAATTATTATCAGAAGGAGGTAACAGCTAAATGTCACGCTGGGCAGCAATGCTCAATCCATAATAAATCAAGAGTTGTCTAAAGTTATCTACAGTAAGGTTATTTTTTAAATTATATTTTTAGGCATTTAAAAAGCACCACATGCCCATGGTAAAACATCAAAATACTATCAAATATCAAAAAGTATATAATATTTTTTTAGAAGAAGCCTCTCTCTCATTCAAAACTCTTGACCCCTTTCCCAGAGGGAAAATTTTACATCCTTCTAGAATTTTTTATGCACACTGAAGCATAAAAATATCACCTTTAAAATCATTTTTTAAAACATAAATGGGAGTATACTATATACACTGTCCTGAGTCTTACCTTTCTCAATAGATTTTAGAGATTTTTTCCAAAACAGCACATCCAGCTCTACTTAATTCTTTCTAATGGCTGCAGAGCATTCCACAGTATGGATGCTTACAATTTATTTAAGCAGTCCTCTACTGATGGACATCAAAGTTGTTTCCAAGCTTTTGTTATTGTAAAATGATGCCACAGTGAGGATCCTTGTATACTGCACACGTGTATGTGTGTTTATGTAGCTAAAGTACACACACACACACACACACAGAGACAGACACACACAGAGACACAGACACACAGACACAGACACACACACAGACACAGAGACACACAGAGACACACACAGACACAGACACACACGCAGACACACACAGAGGCACAGAGACACAGAGACACACACACAGACACAGAGACACACAGAGACACACACAGACACACAGACACAGACACACACACAGACACAGACACACACGCACGCACAGACACACGCACAGACACACACAGACACACACGCAGACACACACAGAGACACATACACACACAGACATACACACAGACACACACAGACACACAGACACACACGCAGACACACACACAAACACACGCAGACACACACACACAGACACACACACATGCAGACACACACACAGACACAGACATACACACATGCAGACACACACACAGACACAGACATACACACACAGACACACACACATGCAGACACACACACACAGACACAGACATACACACACAGACACACAGACACACACACAGACACACAGAGACACACACATACACAGAGACACACAGACACACACACACACGCACACACATGCACACACACAGACACAGAGACACACACACAGACACACACACACAGAGACACACACACAGACACACACACACGCACACAGACACACACACACAGACACAGACACACACAGACACACACAGACGCACACACACGCAGACACACACACACAGACACACACAGACACATACACACACAGACACACAGACACAGACACATACACAGACACACACACACACAGACACATACACACATGCACACACACACACAGAGACACACACAGACACACAGACACGCACGCACGCACAGACACAGACACACACACAGACACACACACAGGCACACACACACAGACACACACACAGACACAGACACACACAGACACACCCACACAGACACACACACACACACACACACACACACACAGACACACACACACACACACAGGTAGGGCCCGACTAATGACAGGGTTCTGTTCCGATGATTCCATCCTAAGGTGGTTCTGACATAAGTTGAATACTTTTCTTTTTTTTAAGTTTTCACAGCCTGCTATACGACAAGTTTTAAATAGTAGATTTAACACTGAACACTGACCATCTGGGAGTGAACATCTGATAACATCAGCAAATTACGGGCTGCAACACTGTATGCAGTACATATCACTACCGATAAGATGTGCAAAAAAAAAAAGACAGTCATAAGTGCAGTTCGACATAACTTGAATACGTCCTAAGTTGGGGACTACGTATAATACGTATACATAGGTGTATATATATGTGTGTTTATCTATATATATATACACGATAAATTCCTAAAAATGAAACTGCTGAATCAGAGTATATATGCATTTTTAAATTTTGACAGAACTAACAAGTATTAACAAACTTCCCCCCAAAGAGGCAGGTGGTAATGACCCTTTCAATTCCATCATTACGTATCCCTCGTTGCAACAATTGGATCGCTATCCCCCTGCCCCACTTGTATCACAGCATCTGAAGAAGGCCCTCATAAAGGACAACACTCGAGACAAAGAGAGGCGGGGAGGGGCTCCAGCGCCCGGGTGGGCTGAGGCCACCTCAGATCAGCCTGGCTGCCGAGGACCGAGAGGAGGAACGGAATGACCTCCAAGGGCCACTAGACTTTCCGACTGCATTTAGCTGTCCCATCCCTTCCTACTGCGTATACAGAAACGTCTCTCAGTTACCCCTGTACCTTGAACGATGTCATCCTGCCGCTGTAGGGTGGGCCGGGGAGGACGAGTAGACTCTCTATCAGAAAACCCCTTTTCAGGGGTCCTGGGGCCACCACTCCCTTCACTAAAGGGTGGGGAAAGATTCCCAGCATGGACTTGACGTAGCTGTTCAAAATCACTGAGGGCTGCACTCACATCCCAATTCTTTCCTGGACAGGAGATAAAGCAAAAAGTGAGCTGGGTACTGCAGAGTTTAAGGGAAGTGGAAAAGGGAACATAAAGATCACTCCAACCATTCCGTCAAAAATAGCACATACTCAGGGACACTTCAGTCACTCTCCCTTCCCTTATTCTGCTGTCATGTTCTTCAGAACACTTCAGTCTGAACTATTACTAACTTCTTTATTTACGTATTTACTGTCTACCTCCTGGGTAAGCCTTCGTGAGGATGGAAACCTTCCTGGTCACTTGTACGTCCCTAGCACTGAGAACAAGGCCTAGGACATAAAAAGTACCCAAATAAGTATTTGATGAATTTACTGAATAAAGGAAATGTCATTAGTAAACAAGCATTCCTTGTACTATGGGTTCATCTGGTACTTCAGAGGCCCAGAAGTACTATTTAAATTGGCAATTAACCAAGATAAGGCTTTTCAAGGGTCCTTAAAACACTCCCTGATACGTGTCAGAGATGTGATTCCCCATCCTCATCCCTCCAACAGTGTGAACCTCCTCCAGAGGTTACAGAGAGCTAGCTGTCATCAGAACAACTCAGATGTTATAGCTACGTGTAATCACTCACTTGCTCCGCAGAATGACATCTATTTGGTTTTTCCGACCATCAATATGTCCTTCCCTAATCCCTCAGGGCCCAAGGCAGCAAAAATCTGGGAGATAAACCAGTCACAGCATTTAAGGAATACTTAAGACAAAACTGGTTTGAGGAAAAAAATCTACAAACAAAATAAGAAACTTTAAATTCAGCTGGCCTCACTGAACAGATAACACCAGAAATACTCCTGATATGTAACAGGCGCTGAGTAAAACTTCTGACTAAAGCAAGAATAACTATTGAGTTCTTAATACAAGGTCCTTTGTTTACTTCCACAGTGAAATATAATTAGTTGAATAAAAATTCAAACATATTTTAATACCTTAATCGTTGTCTTGATTTCATTTGTGATTATTTGAAAATACTAGTTCACTTTTTTATAAATATAATGCTTACTTGAAAACACAACTAAAGCCAACACTCCGATTTAAAGAAAAATTGACCACATGCTATCAGAACCTTAGAGAGCCTTAGAAAGCCACTCCTCGAAAACCTCATTTTACCGATTAGGGAAATGAAGCCTTGCCAAGTCACCTGACTTGCTCACAGTCACAGCTAGTTTGCTTCAGGGCTTAGCAGGACTCAAGTCCAGATTTCCTAACTCTGAAATCCAGAGAGGTTCTTAGCCTAGATGGGCTTCAGGGTGTCGTAAACCACCAGAAACTGGATACAAAGTTATGTGGTATACGTATTTTTCTAGGGAGAGGGTTGATAGCTATCATCAGATTATCAAAGGGAACTGCGGCCCCCCTCACCAAAAAAAAATTAAGAATCACCACCCTACTGAAGAAAAGATCCTAAATGATGACTTTGTCACAGATTTATCAGTTGCTTTCTCCAGTTAAATCATTCAGGAAACACATACTGTTCAAGTCCAGGGACAAGGACGAGAAAGCAGCAGGGGACAGGAAAGCTGGTAATAGGGAACCCAAAGGGACAGTGCTGACATGTCATGGGGTTAACAAAGCCCGCCGCCCTCCGCCCGACCGTCGCGGCGGGCTCTGAGCTAGTGCCAACCTTCTTTTCCAGCCTTTTCTCTGTGCCTCAATGTCCTCATCTGTGAAATGGAAATGATAATAATGATACCTACCTCACAGTGTTATTATGAAGATTAAATGAGCTGAAAGTACTCAGACCAGTGCTTGGTATCCAGAAAGCCTCATATATGTGTTTCCTGTTGGCTGTTTTCCGCACTGCTGTAATGCTCCAGTTAAGCCGCCCCTGATGACTTCACTTCTAAACCATGACACTACCATTTGCTCCGACTCCCTCTGCTCCGGTCACACTGGCCTCCGTGCTGTTGCCAGAACATGCTAAGGCTGCTCCCGCCCTGGGGCCTTCCCACTGACTATTGTCACCGCCTGGAAGGCTGCTGCCTCTACGCGTGTACACAGCCAACTCTTCGTCTCCTTCCAGCATTGGCTCAGCTGTCACACTCTTAATGTGGCCTACCTGACACCCAATCTGAAAATCACCACCTGCCTCATCGTTCCCCTTACCGTTTTCCACAGCACTTAACAACTTAAAATATACTTTATAACTTGCTTAGTTATGTTTATTCACTGTCTCTCCCACTAGAATGGAAGGGCAGGGATTTTTATTTGTTTTGTTTTAAGAATCTAGAACACTCCCTGGCATACAGCAGGCACTCAATAAGTATGTGCTGAATGACTAAAGGACTTTTGTCCTAGATCAATGAATGAATGACATCTGTCCTGAGCACTGGATCTGTATTTCCAATTGTCTGCTAAACACCTTATAATCAGGTCCTCCTAAAAATCAGTATGTCCAAAACTGAATGTCCATCATCTTCCCTCCCAAATCAGCAACGGCGTCACAATCCTTCCAGGCCAGAAACTTCAGTCACGTTCAGCTCCTCGCTGTTCCTCAGATCCCACTGGACCTCACCATCCAGTCAATCACCAGGGTTGGCTGTACCCCGGAAACATCTCTCAGATCCGTTCCTTCCTGTCCATATTTATTGTCACTGCCCCCGTTCACGTTCTTATCATCTATTACCTGGTCTTTGGTATTCTGGGAGGGGGGGGTCTCTAACTGGTCTCTGTTACTAATCTCCCCCCTCTCTAACTTGTTCTTTACATTACAACTGGTTATCTTTTAAAGGAAAAAGCAAGAGACAGAAAGACACAGAGAGAGTGAGAATCAGGTCCCAGTGATTCGACTTCTGAATTACATTTAAATCACCCACTTCTCACTCTGGTGCCACCATCACAGTCCCAGTCACTGTCACCTCTCAGCTGAACTGTGGCATTGGTCTGGCTGATCTTACAACTTCTCTGGCCACCCTCCAACCCACTGCATAGCCTCCAACCAATACACTGCTAAAAACTCAAATCCAATCACGCCACTCTCCTGATGAAAACCCTTCACCTGCTTCCCACTGAACTCAGAATAGAATTTAAACTCACGTTCTGCCACCTGCCCACCTGACCAGCTTCCTGCCACCCCTCCACCCTTCCTCCTACCTCCCTCACTTTTAGTTTCCCCGACGTTCTCAACTCTCTCACCTTAGTCTCCTTGTATAACCTCTTTCTTCTGCATAAACACTCTTTTCGACATCCATCTGTCTTGCTACTCCTACATACTCTTCAGGGTTCAGCTCAAATGTCACTGCTCCAGAAAGGCCTTCCGGCACTCTAAATCTAAATTAGGTTTTTCTCTTAAACTCTCATAGCATCCTCAACGTTTCCTTCATAGCACTTACTACCATTTATAACTGGGCACACACTGGTTAAGAGCTCAGCTGCTAACCAAGAGGTCAGCGGTTGGAATCCACCAGCCGCTTCTTGGAAATCTTATGGGGCACTTCTCCTCTGTCCTACAAGGTTGCTATGAGTCGAACTCGACTCCATGGCAATGGGTTAGTTGTGTATGTGAGTGTGTATGTGCATGTCTGTTAGCAGGCAAGCAGTAATTTGTAACATCATTGTTCATTCAGAGTCAACCTCGGAAACCAGATGGCCTAGGTTCAAATCCTACTGAACTTTGCGGAGCCTCGTGTTTTGTTTTTTTTTTAAGTGTCCTGGGATAATTAAACCTAGGTTTCAGGGTAGGTGTGAGAATTAGATAATACACGTCAAGTACCTCACAGAGATTAGGTGTTTAACACATTACAAGGGAAATGAGTAACGGTTCAGGGTTGCTTTACAGAAGGGACATTTGAATTGAATCTGGAGGGAGGAGGATATTTTCAGGGGGACAATGGAGGCATGGATACTGCAGACTCAGGAAACAGCCTGACATGACTAGGGCAAGGCGACCAGTCAGCACGGCCGGCGCAAAGGAAGCGTGGGGAAAAGAAGTAGAAGACAAGATGAAAACGCAAGTGACGGGTGAGGTCACGCTGAATTAGGAACCTGGGATTTAACTGCGATCTTCTGTGTCAAACTCACGATCTTCTCACAGGCAAATAAGCAAATGTCGACCTGTCACACCTTGCTAAGGGCCGCCAACCTAAAAACTGCCTTTGTATGCTAACAACTTGCCACTTCCTCCATGAGTGTGCCTGCTTGTGTCATTATACATTTTCTTCACTAGAAAGTATCTGTTAACAAAGGATCCCACAGACAGGATCTGGACCTCCAGAACCTGAAAATCTAGAACGTTCACACGTACATGTACATACAGATTCAAGTAAACCAACGCAGCAAAAGAAAAACATTTAATTCGTTCAACATACAGTTACTCATGCAAATTAGGGCAGGAAAAACAAAACTATGGGTAATCTGAAATATGAAAATTCAAGAGTTATTTACATATAAAAGAAGAAGTATAGCAGATCTGGGATTATGCTTTCAGTGAATGAATGAATATAAACTTTCAGGTGCATTCCCTGAGCATAAACTGACAGCGGAGAAAGCTACTCCACTAAGTTCAAGGTGAAAAAAGAATCCTGAATTTTAAAATTACAGCGGGTCATACACAAACATCAGAAATAACTGAAATGCGAGGCCTGTCCTACACAAAGTGGATTCCTGACCACCTTAAATGTTCCATAACAATCGTCCTAACAACAAACACCACATTTTACCTTCTCTCTCTTTACTCTCCGTCAATGACTCCTTACCTTCCAGGAGATCTCGGGCCAGCCCTGGCTCTGCTCCCGTGGAACGGACAAAATCCGACAGGACAGCATCCATGTCCAGGGTCATGTGCTCATAAAGCAGTTTCAGGCAGCTGGACGTAGGTAGGACATAGATCACACTTCAGGCCTCCACCTGAGGGGGAAACAAACACCCAGGCTCAAGTTACACCGCCACAGGGTGGTCACAGCCCAGTGGAGCAGCTTCCTAACCAAACCGGGAAACTATCCTGGCTCATTCTGTTTCAATTAAATTTAAAAATAAACCAGTTCAAAATTTATTATGGCGAGTAACATTTAACTTCCTAATTCCTCATTAGCATTGATTGCTAAGCTCCTACATTAACCGTAAAAACATAATACCACTACAAACAATGCTTTTCCTCTCCCTTTCTAGAATATGACATCTCTACCAGGGGCTTACTTACCCAATGGAAAGAAGCAACAGAGTACCACCCGAAAGAACGTCCCATCTGCATTATTCTCTAACATGGTACCTTGTTTCTTTCCTTCCTGGCACCTGATATACTCTGAAATTATTTTAATTAATTGCTGTCTGACCTTCTCCTCTAGGATATAAGTCCCCTGAAAGCAAGGATGTTGTGTGTCTTGTTCACTAATGCATTCCCAACATGTTATCACTTGGCACAGTGCTGGGCATGCAGGCCTTCAATAAATGTTTGTTGAATAAATGAATGAACATTATACGATGGGTGACGTCAGAGTTGACCAGTCTCTTGAAGCTAGCAGAGGAAAGGAAAGGAGTGAGATGACAGCTAACAATCCAGAACTACTCAAAATAAAAACAAGGAGCTAGTCCACAAAGCAGAGCGGGGATCCCAAAGGCTTATAACAAAAAAGTCAATCTCTGTCCACTAATCTCATGAACTCCGGAAGCGTGCCTATTCCCCACCCAGGACAAATGACTGCCAAGTAAGCACACCTGAACAACAGCTCTGCTTTCAGACTGGACTTTGGCAAAGACTGTGTCCCTGACTTGACGGTCTGGAACCAACTCACATTCCTCTGTCTGAGATTAGCAGTCCCAGCCGAGAACAATCTCTAAGACAGGTTTAGAGTTAGTTCTCTGTAGCAGAGGACTTGTTCAGGAAGTCACCAGGCACAGGCCTACCCTACCAAACCCACCAAGCCCTGCAACAGATGACTGCCTCTTCAGAAACATCTCTTCCTAAATAACCAAAAGTCTAGGGAGACTCCCAGATCCGTTTTCTTCACACTTCCCTCTAGTCCAGGATACAGCTTGTTTCGTGGTAGGATCAGATCCTGATTTTCTGCAGTCCTTAGAATCCGTGGGGAAAAAACAGTAAAGCTCTGTGGTTATAAAACCAGTAGGTGGCTAACTTGATCACGAAACACTGGATGTTTTATCTGAGAGAGACAGCAAAATACAAAGTACTCCTCTTGTACTGTTGTGCTAGTACAAGGGATCCCTGAGCGCAGGGACAGACTTTATCCTATTTGTAGCCCCAGCACCTAGCACAGCACCCACAACCCAGCAGGCAGTCACTAAATGCCTGATGGCTGAATGACAAAGTCAGCCTTCATGTCAGCAACCACCAACCAATCGATGTGAGTCTTAACTTAGCAGATCAGAAATTCTGGGGGACTTCATATCACCCTTGTATTTCTAAGGGTCTGCCCTTGTCCCAATTCATCTCTCAGAGTTTCAGAAAACTCCTTTCCAACAAGGCATCAAGCATACTGTCATTACTCCCACTACCATTTCACTATACCATTTCAACCTTTACCTGTGAACTGCCCAACTGCCGGGGAACTGATCAAATTACTTACACTTAACAGGGTTTTGGCTGTATCTTCAATAACCTACACTCGGATTAGATGTCTCCTAAGGTACTTTCCAGGTTTAAACAAAGGAAAAATTTCAGCTGATTACAGCCCCATAAGCTATGATCTTTACATTCTCTTTCAGTCTAGATATTACCAATGTTTGATTTACTTCAGTATCAATATCACAACTATCAGGAAGTGCTACTAATCCATAGAGGATTTTAGTCTAAGGTCTCAAATTCAGAACGTCAAGTTATAAAAATCAATTAGTTCCTTACAGTTAATACTTCAGATTTAAAGTCTTTCAGAATTCACAGGTAAACAGCTTTTCCCTTTCCTAACACTAGGAAGAATTCCTTCTCCAAGCCTATTTTAGTTAGTCTTAGGTCACAGGAAATGGTAGCAGCTCAAATAAACACACGAAAAATCCAAAACCAAAAGCATAGCTACAAAATGAATTTCAATCTTCTCTCTAAAAGACATGCAAAGGAACAGTAAAACCACTTTAATAACTTTCTGAATGAGAATGTGAGAAGTATCAATAGGTAAACAAAGAGCAATCAGCAAAAAAGTGCTCAGCAGAAGAGAGAAGAGCTGATTAAGTCACAGGCATGGAGGCATCTCCCAACCAGACACTGGCCAATGAGACCTATCAATACCCTGCCATCATAGATCTCCCAGGTCAACAGCTGGTCATTCATTTCAAAAAACATTAAAAATAATAATAATAATTTAGAGGTCTGGTATCATCTATAATGACTTTCTCTTTAACAAAAATTCCAAGCACTAAACCAAACTTCTTGGCAGCACAAGCTTGTATTTGGTATTTCCAGGTGCATATCATGGACTGCACCCTAACCCACCCAACAGGTGAGGAAACCAGCCTTTGTTACATCACTACCAACACCTGGCGTGAGCTTCTCAAATTCCAAATGAAGATATCCAAGCCAATGACTAAAACTCAAAGTCCTTGGATCTGTTTCAGCACACAGGGGGAGGGAGGGACCACTTGCTTTCAACCTTTTAAATAAAACAGTAGTGGCACTCAGATATTAGTTGATTGAATGGTGTACGGACACATCTCAACTGGAGTAAAAAGCTCCCAATCCTCCAAATGGAAGGTACTTTAGTGATTATTTAATCCAATGCCTGCCCCCATGCAAGAATCCTAACAGATAAATCATCCCGTCTCCACTTGTATACATGCTTTTATGGGGAACTAATTACCCTGTCATGAAGTCTATTTTGTTGGATAGCTCTAATTATCAGAAAACTCTTCTAAACTAAACCAAACGCTGTTGCCAGCCTCCGTCCCCCTAACTTTCACACACTGGTCCTTAATCTTTTCTCTAGAATAATAAGAGCTATTCCCAGGCAAGGTGGAATTTTCAATGAAAACAATTAGCTAAAGCAGTTATTTACATAAAAATTTGTTGTAGATCAACACAGCAATGCCATCATCAGCCAGCCAGTGGTCTGTATTTTAGAAAATCCTTCCCTTTATCAGTACCTGCTTGTATCTGTATTCATTCGTAAACATTTATATGCATGTTTTCCATATGTTGACCCTGTAGTATAAACTCCACATGCTAAATAAATAATATAGCTTGTTCAAAATTCACTTCTGCTGCTATCTTTGTTTCCCAGCCTTACTTCCACTTCCATGCCCTCTTGAAGTGATGACCGCAATCAAGAATAAAAACTAACAATACTAAGGACTTTCAAAAACACTATCATATTCATTATCAATAAAACTCCTGCAGCAAGTCTCATTATTCCCATTTTATAAATGTTGTTACTGTCGAGTCAGTTCAACTCATGGAGACAACCTTATGTATAACAGTACAAAATACTGCCCAGTCCTGCACCATCTTCACGATTGTCGGTATGTTTGAGACCATTGTCACAGCTGTTGTGTCAATCCATCTCATTGAGGGTTTCCCTCGTTTTTACTGACCCTCTGCTTTACCAAACACATTGTCCTTGTCTAGTTGTTCTTTCACTGATGCGTCCAAAGTAAGCGAGTCAAAGTACTGCCATCCTTGCTTCTAAAGAGAATCTGGGTTGTGTTTCTTCTAAGACTGATTTGTTCGTTCTTCTGGTAGTCCACAGTATATTCAATATTCTTAACTAATACCACAATTTGCTTGCTGAAACTGAAGAGGACTTGAGGCACTTACTGATAAAGATCAAAGACCAAAGCCTTCAACACGGATTACACGTCAACATAAAGAAAACAAAAATCCTCACAACTGGACCAATAAGCAACATCATGATAAACAGAGAAAAGACTGAAGTTGTCACGGATTTCGTTTTACTTGGATCCACAAGCAACACCCATGGAAGCAGCAGTCAAGAAATCCAAAGACGCCTAGCAGTGGGCAAATCTGCTGCAAAAGACCTCTTTAAAGTGTTGGAAAGCAAAGATGTCACCTTGAAGACTAAGGTGCGCCTGACCCAAGCCATGGTATTTTCAATCGCATCATATGCATGCAAAAACTGGACAATGAATAAGGAAAATCAAAGAAGAACTGGCACCTTTGCGTTGTGGTGCTGGCGAAGAATATTGAATATACCATGGACTGCCAAAAGAACGAACAAATCTGTCTTGGAAGAAGTACAACCAGAATACTCCTTAGAAGCAAGGATGGTCTAAGACTATGTCTTACATACTTTGGACAGGTGGTCAGGAAGGACCAGTCCCCAGAGAAGGACATCATGCTTGGTAAAGTACAGGGTCAGTGAAAAAGACGAAGACCCTCAATGAGATGGATTGACACAGTGGCTGCAACAGGGGGCTCAAGCATAACGACGACTGTGAGCATGGCGCAGGACCAGGCAGCGTTTTGCTCCGTGGTACACAGGGTCACCATGAGTCAGAACCAACTCAATGGCACCTAACAACAACGCCACCACCACAGTTTGAATGCATCAATTCTTCTTGTGTCCTCTTTCACCGTCCAGTTTTCACACGCATATGAGGCGGCTGTAAAGACCATGGGTCAGGTCGGGTTTAGTCCTCCAAGTGACATCTTTGCTTTTTAAAACTTTAAAGAGTTTTGCAGCAGATTTGCCCAATGCAATACGTTGTTCGATTTCTTGACTGCTGCTTCCACGTACGCTGATTGTGGATCCAAGGAGAATGAAATCACTGACTTCAAGTTTTTTCTCCATTTATCATGATGTTGTTTATTGGTCCGATAGTGAGGATTTTCATTTTCTTCATGTCTAGGCGTAATCCATACTGAAGACTGTAGTCTTTGACTTTCCTCAGTAAGTGCTTCAGGTCCCCTTCATTTTGGCAAGCAAAGCTGTGTCATCTGCATA